CCTGGTTTGTAAACGTACATGTTTTGGTGCACACACTTGGCTCAGCTGTTCGCTCCCCAGACACGCAAGCTGCCCTTCATCCCTCTGCACACAACCCCTCCCAGATCAGCGTGCAGCAGGACGGATGTGGATGGCTGTCATCCCCATAGGGCTGGACGGCCACCCACATCGTCCCCAGAACAGCACCAGGTAGCATAAAGACCATAATTTTGTGTGTGTGTCACTCATTGCTGTGTGAATGCTGCAGAGAATGACATTCGTTTTCACAGATGACATCCGGGTTCCGACCATTACAAGAATATTCTTGAATACAAATGCTACTCAAGCTGTGATTTGGCACATGCAACATACATGTAGCTGCAGACACAACAAAACACAAATTTCAGAATATATGTATACCTTTGACTAACATATACTGACACAGAAAAAAAATACCTGGAAAAATAAGTGCCCGTTTTAAGTGTAAGAAACAAAGCAAAGCTCAGCCCGAGCCCTGCAGCATATGGACATTCAATTACCTTTAAGGCTGTTGTGACTGTTTGCTCAGCGGCTGCTGGAAATGAGCTCTGATTGGTAATGACCTAAAAATTTTAAAGTAATTGTTAATAGGCAATATTCAACAAATTATTTGAATCTGTAACACTTAATTTAATTTTAAAACACACTAAGTTATTCTTAGTGGTTTACATAGGTACAGATGTGTTTTATACAGAGAAGGTAAAAAATGCACCAGTACCAGTCCTTTGCTCTCTAATTTCCTCTGCCTTAGCAAACAAATGATTCAGTTGAGTTCAACTGAAATTTAGCTGAAGGTTTAACAGAATCAGAATAAAAATTAGTGGTGTACTCTCCCACTGCTAACTATAGAATTTATGGAGAACTATACAAGCAGCTCTGGAGTAAATATTTGAAGGAATGGTTGTTCTTTCTCAGTCCTATGACTATTACAATACTACATGTTAAATAGCTGTTTATGTACAGCTACAACAATATTAGAATTGAAAGCAAGGAATGATCTGAGGAATCAATTTTCTTGCAGTTATGAATATGCTATACAATAGTATTTTTAAGCCAGATAAGCACTGAACTCAAAGACTGAATCATATCAGATTTCCCTCCAACACTAAGGCACATGAGGTTCATTACTAAATACATCAGAGAAAGCAGACTTAAAAGTTGATCTACCATCTGTTTGCAAAATCCAAGCAAATTTTTATAGGCTTTTTAGCATTTTTTAACATTCTTTAAACATACCCACAGTCAGAAGTACTCATGATCTTATTTCTAATCAGGCTAGGATTTTAAACATGATTAACTACAGCTACCGCTATATCTGTTTGTTTTAATTTACAGAGACTGTGTAAGCATTGGCATCACTGGGCCAGTGAATTGGTATTATTCATAACAGTGCTCAGTCCTGAAAACATTTCCAGGCCAGACTTTGGTGACAGCAACAATGCAGAGAGATATTTGTGAGGTGCTTCTTTCCTTGATTTCACCATTTCCTTTCGCTTTTCAGTTTGACCACAATCGTGGGAAAGCAGTGAGAGTCTTCTGAGAAAGATAAGCTTGGGCTGGGGCAGATGCAGACAAAGGCTATCAGGCTGACTGGTACAAAGACAGAGCGAGCTTAATAAGAAAAACCAGAAAGGGTTCAATTGTTTAGGCTCACAAAACAACAACTGTGAGATGTGATTATTCCCTATACACACATCTTTCACTCCTGTTCTACCACTGACAATTTATCCTACAGAAGTGCTTACAAGGACCAACCAAGTCTCAAAGAGTTGTACAAATGCATGGCAAGGTGCAGCTCTTAACCCAAAATTGGGCTGCATTTGTCAGAGTTCTCATCAGCTAATGGGAGAATATGCACATGATAGAGAAAAGTTAACATTATGGCAAGAAGAGAAATACCAAAGGCAGCTTACCTTCAGAACCGACTGGTGCAGTTTGTATAACGAATTAACTACAGCCACGTTCCTCCTCTGTCCCTCTGTGAGAGGTCCAATCACCTGGCTGGCATCTCCTTGAGTAGACAGCTGCAGTGATTGCAGACATTGTTAACACAGTACAAACAAACAACAAAAAAATCAAACAGCATATCACTGCAAAATTATAGTTAACTAAACTTAAACCACGGCAGAAAGCTATAGTTCTTTTGCAACAATATTCTTCCATTTAACTCTTGTCTTGATTCACGTGATTTCCTTCTCCAGATAACAAACTGAAACAACAGGAACCATATTTCAGTACAAACAGGTTTCTGAGGCCTTTGCAGAGGGAAAAATCGTTTCCAATATATCTTAAATTATCTGACATCAGAATTCTTCTTTAGACTAGATGACAAATACATAATTTCAGTATCTTCCAGCCTTCCTGATGAGAACAGCCATGTGAGCTATGTACTTTTCTGTTTGCTTCCTGGTATTTCCATTTGATAGACCTGACTGGTTTTAAGCATTCTGCTTCTCACACTTTCAGCTTCACAGATTACCAATAAAACAGCTGTGCAGAGAAACACCCCATCCATCCAGCTGACCACCCTTCCAGACCTCAATAACTTTTTTTACACACCTTTTTTAAGCACTGCACAGATTGTTCAACTCAGTTGAGTTTTTTGCACATTTACAACCATTAAACATAAAAGAAACTACTAAGACAGTAAAATCTAACATCTTAGTCACTTAGATTTCAGTTCCTTGGAGCTACTGTAAAGGTCTCACAATTTCTTTTTCTTAAATATTATTAAATCATTAGACTGTGTCTCTTATGCTGGCAGAAAAGGTTCACCGATAAGTAACCCAATAACAAGTACAAGTATAACCCTTCTGCAGCAACAAACAACTCTTGCAGTCAGCAATAGTGCACAACAGCTTCACAGGTAAAGCCTAAAAATACCTTAAAAGTAACCAATCTTTCTAAAGTCGTTTACCCTATTAAATTCCCTTAAATTAATCAATTTGAACATTGACAGCTAGATGTGTTGATCCCTTGTGTATCTTAAAATAAACAACACAGCTTGGAAAACTCAACTCTTGTAACTAGCAGTAGGAACCAGGCAGCCCAGGGCTTCCCAGGACTGCTTCTCCTGAAGGTGTGACATGGGCACACCTGGCACCTACATTGGTTCCATCTACAGCAGAAGTCTCAGGTGGTCTTTCTCGTCTCTTGCTGTCACCACAATGATTTCTATGACCTTGCCTTGAGGCAAGAAGGTTCTGCTCTGACTCTGTGCAATGTGGTTCATGTGCATATACTTTGTCACTGGCACATACCTGGATGTCAGATAGTTTATCATTATTCCAATATTCCCATGCCTCAGACTGAATTCTTGACACGTCTGATATTCATCGTACCATCGTGCATCCAGGTAGGAAAATGCCATCATTGTGTCTCCCCAGTTCCAAGAAACCACATTTATGGCCCATTTACTTTAGAGACAAACCATCCCTCAATTTATTTTTCCATTAATGATTCTCATTCATCACTCCCATTTATAGAGCAAGTACTTTTGAAGTTCTGTGCTGTATATGGCTTACGCATTTAAGCCCAGTGGTAATGTAACTCTTCCTCCATTCTCTGTCCATGGGGGATTGCAATGTGTAAATACTTTAAGTCAGGTAGGTGTGAAGCCTAGCACATGCATTCTATTTTGGGGAATGAACAACTAAAAGATAAAGCATAGCTGAAGGACCAGATCCCATCTCCAGGGAACCATCAGTCACCCTGGGAGTTACTCTGGCTTGAGCCTCCTAGCTGGAAAGAAAGCAGAGGAAAAGAAACCATGCTGAAGCCAGACCTGAATGAGCAGCAACAACAAGGACTGTAACAGTTCCACTTTTCTGTATCTGTCTTTAAGTATAGGAATTGATTTCTTACACTCTTTACTTTAGTTGGGTAAACTGTTTCTGTTTTTACCGCAAAGCCTGTCTACTATTTACAGCAATTTCACGGGCACTAGCAAAGCACAGGCATTCAATCCAGTAGCTGACTAGCTGGAGGATGCTAGCTAGAAGACTCTTTTTAAAAATCTGCTTCAACAGAATCTGAGAACTAAGTAGTAGATCAGGTAGTTTCTTGACCCAGAAAGGACACTTGTAGAAGCTGATAGACAAAAAAATGCATCCCAAAGAGGAACAAGCTGACTGAAGGCCACCTGACTTGCTTCAGCCTGACATGGTTGAGAAACCGTAAGCCATGAGTGGCACTGTGCTCTCATCAAATTCAGAAGTTTTTCTGGAAAACAGGTTTTTTTCAGTTTGTATCCTTCAGTACACTAATGCAGTTACACTGCTTCCCCTGCAGATACTGCAGGTGCCTCATACTGGGTCAGAAATTACACAATGCAGAAACCTTCAGGAATGATTCACCTGACCACAAAGTAGATAAATGAACACTTCTATTGAGTAACAAATCTGGCCTATTTTAGAGATCCTGCTTTAGGAGGACAGTAAATATACCCTGCATGCACCTATTTCCCTCTGCTAACTGTAACGGGAATCAAAAGCCGTACCACAGATACATTCAGGTAGCTTTACTGCCTGAAATCAGGTCACATGAAATCTCATCCTATAAACATATTCGCATCCCTTTGTGTAGACCCACCTTGGAAATATGTCTTGGAAATAGAAAGGATCAAGTGTTCCAAATTTTACACTTTTCTATGTTTAATACCTAAGGACAGACATGTAATTTGACAGCATGAATTTGTTCTCACGTGTTGAGACACGTGCTGTAATAAGATTGCTTTGGGTTTAAATTCTTGCTTTCATCATGAAGTAATGAATGTAGATTTTAGATTAGGATGTGAATCAAATCATCAGTTCTCCCATGGGTTATAAAAATGCTAACTGAGTTTGTCTTTTTCTTGTAGAAAAGCTCAGATACATATTTTCCTACAATTTGTTTAGTATTTCAAAGTGACTAACTTCCCTTCTTAAAACAGGTGGCAGCTCAGAAGAGACTCTGATTTGTGAGCTGCTTTGCTACCATTCCCTTTACAGACTAAACATTTTGTAAAAAAGCTCAGTTTCACACTAAGTAACTAAGATCTTGTGTGCATCCTTACTGACAACTTTGGAAAACTCCATTTACTTGATTTCTCTACTCTAAAACAGCCTCAGCAAACCCACTCTTGAAAGAGCAGGAAACAGCACCATGATTTAGAAGGAGTACAGAGAAGATTTTAGATCAAAAGAAGACGATAGCAGTGCCTCGCACCAAAGCATTTGATCTAACTCTAGGATCACAAGACTAATGCGTTCTGATAGCACAAATTGAACTCCAATTGTCAAGCTGACATTTTGAAGAATAAATACGTTCCTAATTGAGGCAGCTGATGTGGCCATACCTCTGGCAGAAAGCAATCAATCCATCTGGAACTTGGCCTCCTGCCTGATCATAACAACTTATTATAAAGTGCAGAATTCATTTACAGAGTTACTGAGTCAATAGGGCTCAGTCCTGGGATTTCTCCCACAAACTACAAATAATTGGGATGATCTTCTACCAGGTTTAATGTTTCCCATACAGCAGAAGGCATATTTTACATTTCCTTTCCACTTAAGAAACACAGAAGTTTACTAGAATCAGTTTGCTACTTGGGAAGAAAAATCTGAAGGGACGGTTAAGTCCTTGACCCAAGAAAAAGACCAAACATCAGGCTCTTACTATTCATGCGAGAACAACAGCAATCATCGAACCATTCCCTTGGGGTTTTTTCTGTTTTGTTTCTTCTTTTACTTCCTTAGTATTTTCAAAAGTGGGAGAAATGGAAGGAAAACAGCAAATGGTCTTTCTGTAACAGAAAAGACTGGATTTATCTCAAAGTCTTTGAATCATCTGAGAAGAAAAGCAGTGTACAAAATAATCAGAAGTGAGTAATGGCTCATGGTCCTTAAATAATGAGAAGCTTTAGAATAACTCCACTATCAGAAAGCATCTAAAACCAGTTCCTGAAAGGAATTCCAGAGAATGCTAAACCTGAAGCACTTGGAATCATTTCTCAGCTTTTGAAAATCATGCCTCTTGTACTTGACATTTTTTCAGACTCAGGTTTAAGCAGCCAACCCAAGTCTGAGGAGGATTTCAAGGACAATGTGTGTTGATCCTGATAGCTCTGACTGCAACAGTTTCCTGAATTTTTCATGCTTGCCAAATTAATGACTGACATCCCAGTAGCTGTTGGTCCCAATCAACTACTGAGAATGCACCTCCCGAGGTGAAGAGCAGACATCCATCCCCAAGACACGTGAGACGGGTCCAACATGATATGGTGATATTCCCCTCACATAAAAAAGATAATCAACTTATTTAATTGCCATCTGTCTTTTGTAGTATCAAGTCCAGGCGTTAATTGAGATTAGAATACTTCTATCCTGCAGAAGGTTATAAAAGAGCTTTACATTGTCCAACTCTCATTAGAGTTGCTCCAAAACTGCGAAATTCCAAAGCCTTTACCATATCACCATATGTGTAACCAAATCAATTTCTGAATCACAGAATTTAATTTGGTATGAAATCAATTAAGAGTGCACTATAACAAAATGCTGTTAGGATTTTGTGCAAGCTTGCTCTTTTTCTACCTGTTAGCAAAATTACATGTTAGAGCTAAAGAAGTCTTTTAATCACTTTCCCAGCAAGATAAAATGAAGTACATAGTACTCTCAAAACCAGACTTGCATGTTTGGATGATTTTTTCTGGAGTTTAGCCAGTACATCTTAAAAAAATATAAAAATCACACATTTGTTATGTGAGTCACGATCTAACCAGCAAAAGACAACATGAGAATAAAGAAAATGTTTCATGAAGTTATTTTTTTATGCAACTTTCTCCTCTAGAGTTTTAATTCAATTTTTAAAAGTTTAAAAGCTTTTTAAAGTTACTTATCAGCTAAGTATTCTCTGGCCAATATAAGCAGCTTCCTGATGACTGTTTTAACAAAACCCTTCTAATATTTCAAGAAAAAAATTACAAAACCTTAGTTGACTTCTGATTATTTTTAGACTTACTGCCATCTTTAGCTTTTATTACTGTACA